CTGCATTGTTGAACTATTATATAGTTCAACCATGCATTGCTGAACGAGGGGAAATCATAGATTTTGGCAACACTTTGCAATCTCTTATGGCGATTAAACAGCGCTGCCATTAGCAACGTCACGGTTCAAATTTTCAACAATCTGACTCTGCACGTATGAAATTTAATAAATTCGAAGTTATCAAATAACGAATAAAATTCTCTCATTATTAAAAAAAAACTCTTTTTATTGTAGCTACATTGAAAAACGCCTTCAGAGTAGTTGCAGCATCAGTGAAAAATGTCAAAATGAATCGTGCCTTATCAGTGTCACGTTTCAGATGTTCATAATCATGTTTACTCATGTACTGCAGACAGTGCACTGTGCCTTACATATTTATGATTAATTTGTATGCATCTTGCTATTTCGAATCAAGAAATGTATGGTTCCTATAAAATTACGGAAAACATATACAATCAAACTATATTCAGGAGAAATTATGAATATTTTAAAAATGCAACTTATCTTTATAATCCAATTTTCATAGTAACAAATGCAAAGAGGGTATTAGGACAAAATTGAAGCATAGCTTTCATCTCCATTCAATATTAGGATAACATATATAAAGTGCACATATTAAGTTCAGCAGGCGCTTTCAAAGTATGACTGGACTGTACAATATTTTCATACGGCGTACGAAGCTACTCACGTGTACATTCATCATAATTATTCATAACATAACATAGTGTTCTCGGCGCTGAAGTGTAGGCCTGATGTGGCCTATCGCCGATTCTTTTCCTTTTTGTTCCTTGTTAGCATTTTAGAAGATCTAAAATCGTGTCATTTAGACCGGATCTTTTCATGACTGACGATAGTTTGAAATAGCTACTCGACTTCAACCGGGTTCGATATGGTGCTAGGCATTTCAAATCTGAACATATATTTTTCCGTAGTTTTATCTGGTCTGTTCTTGAACGCGTTCATACTTGGAGCGCCAAATATTTCATCGGGGAGGCTGTTCCACATGTCGGTGATTCGAACCGAGAAGAAATGTTGGCGCGTGGAGAAGTTGCAGCGCAGTTTTTAGCGCATTTTCTCATTTATGGAAAAAATGCACTATTGTGCTCGCCATGTCCGTCAGTCCGTCTGTCTGTCCGTCCGTCTGTCCGTGACCTCAAATTTTCGTCGACGAGAAAATGCGCTCTCTGTCACTCACTGCAGTGAGTACTGAGTTATATTTAAGAGCGTGACTGAGGATTTCCCAGGAGCCACGGCCAGTTTCTTGGCGGTCGACCAGTCTGAGACGCCCCGGAGAAGCTCAGAGAGGTCAGCCTCCGCGGCGTAGAGCCTCGGGGACGACACAAAAATAGCAAGGTCGTCTGCATGTGAGGCGATGTTGGGGGCCGGAACAGGTATGTCCGAGATGAAGTAGCTGAATAGGGCTGGTGAGATGACCGACCCTTGGGGGACTCCAGAATGGATTGTTCTGAAGGGCGACCGTGTTCTCAGATAGAGGCAGGAAGCCATCCTGCCTCTAAGGTAACAGTACAACCAGCGGACCAGATTATGATGTAGGTCTGAGGCCGCGATCATGCTAAGGAGGAGAGGGTGGTCGACACTATCGAAAGCTTTCGATAGGTCGACCGCAGCTGCCACTGTACGTGCTGGGAGACGGCGCGAATTGAAACCCGTCGCAATCTGATGCGCTAGCGGGTGGAGGGCGGTTACTGTCGAGTGTCCCGGTTTAAAGTCATGTTGCGAAGAAACCGTGACGAGAGAATCAGAGATTATGGGAGTAGTAGGCGTTCCAGGGTCTTGACCGCTGGACAGAGGAGGGAGATGGGGTGGTATGAGGAGCCCTGGTGGTATGGGGTGGTATGAGGAGCCCCTCCCAAAACCCATCCACCCGCCCCTAAGGCGGCGGGTGGATGGGTTTTGGGAGTGCGGAGCGATGGAGGTGAATAGTTTGCAAAGTGAGCGGGGGAGGTTCCAGTGTTTTGACTGGTGAGTTCGCCTGTTGCACGAGGCGAGATGTCTCCGCCAGGTGTTCCTGGCATGGGCTTGTATTGAAGTGGTGATTTCTAGGTTGAGATCAGGGAGCCGGGGGTGGTTAGGGTTGTGCGCCCTGATGTCATCCCGTTGCTCTATAAGCAACCGGGTGCCAGGGTTGACTGCGGGGGAATACTCCTTACGAAAGCCAGCAGGGATGTGCTGCTTGGCAGCGGCCGCCAGGACGCCCCTGAGGGTCGACTCACCTCCGCACGAGGTGGGGGGAAGGACTGCCTCGAGCGCTGCTTCAACTGCTGCCGTGTAGGAGGGCCAGTCCGCTTTCTTAAAGTTAGTATAAGAGCGGGCAGACCGGGGAGCTGGGGACTCCACGGCGGGAGGTAAATGAAGCAGGATAGGTAAATGGTCGGAATTCAGGGGCGACTTGAGGAGCCCATGAGGTGCTGAGTAGTAGCTGCCCGGTGATGATGGCAAGGTTAGGTGAGGAGGGCGGACCGTGGGAGGGGAGGGGGGTCGGCGAATCCTCGTTGAGGAAAGCTAAGGGGGAGCCAGAGATGAAGTCGTCGATGGTGATCCCTCTCGATCCCTGGTCCTCGGTGTGGGAGAACCAGAAGGGGTGATGGGCGCTGAAGTCGCCCACTATCAGACAGTTGTCCGGGACGGTGACAATGTCAGAGAGGTCCGGGGAATATCCCGGGGGCAGGAGGTGACTGGTGGGATGTAAATATTGATGATACAGAGAGGGGAGCCATCGAGAGGAGTGGAGATGGCTATGACCTAAATGCATGGTGGCGTCGCCACGCAGGAGGGGAGAAATATCACGCCCGGTGTACGGGATGTCGTGACGGATTAGGAGACCGCCACCGTGGCCACCGGGACGGTCCCTACGCTCCAGCGCGTATCCCTAGAAAGAGGAGGGGGGGCGGGAGGCCGTTGATAGCTTAGTCTCCTGGATGCAGGCAATCGCAACATCGTGCTGTGCCAGGAAGGCAGCCAGTTCAGCTGCGCTGGATTGCATCCCATTGCAGTTAAACTGGAGGACGCAGAGGCGAGTGGAGGCAAGCACGGGGGGAGGCCGTTGGGGCGAGGGGGGAGGGNGCCCAATCCTCAACTACGCGGCCCCCATCTGGTACCCTGTTGCCTCACGCACAGCAATTACCAGTCTGCAAACAATTCAAGCGGCAGCGGCATTCCTGGCCACCCTCCGTGCCTTCGCCCATCTCCCCCCTCTTCCGGTGCCGCCCCCCCCCTCTTGAGCCTCCCCCCGGCGAGCAACAAACAACAATAACTCACGTGTTGGTCTGATTTGGTTAGTCTCTGAATTTACAGTACAATCCATGGCATGAGATGCATCTTCAATCGTCACAAACTCAAAATAGTTTGCCCTAATATTTTCTGGTTCATTAAATCGGAAAATCTGCGGCCATATATTTTTGAATGACGAGAAATAACGCTTATAATTGTACGTTTAGTGGAGGAGAGTTTTATACAATTTAAATTACGAGTAACTATTCAATTGCAAAAATATATGTTGGAGCTAATCTACTTTTACCTGTAATTTTAATATATATGAGAACTTAAGCCAGGCAGGGAAATATTTTAGTAAGGAACAGTCGTAAACAATTTTTAAGGAACAGTTGCTTTTAAGGAATAGTCGTAAACAATTTTGTTAAATATATACATGCTTTCAAATAGATTTTCGAACAAGATCAAAATTAAATAAATCCGGAAACAAGATGACGCGCAAAGATTTCTTACCTTAACGAAAAGAATTCTTCCAGCGTCTTTAAATTGAAGTTTAATTAACATTTAACATTTGAAGGTTCAGGTGAAGTTTTCATAACATTGTAGCGTAAGTTCATGCAAAACGGAATTGAAAATACAAATAAAATTTTATATGAAATATTAGAGAACTAAGTTTCTTCATGAGTTACATAGCGATTATTTAAGAAAAATATTTGAAGTAATGAAATTTACGTCATCCACGCTTGTGCTTTTAACTTAATATCGTTATTATAAACAGTTTTATTCTGGCTTATAAAGAAACGGAGAAAACACACCTAGCCCAACTAGTATTTTCAATAAATTATATATTGTGTATAAAACTGCAAGAACTGGGAACGCGGCACTTCGTAATTTGTATATTAACAATAGTCTACGCGTACAAAATGCGGGCAAATCAAGTTACATTGTTTATACTCTATTAAGCGTTAGTTTAATGAAAGCCACTGGTATTTAGTGGGAACACCGATCTTCCAAACAGTCCATTCTCAAAAATATTGATAGATGCTGACATGATCGATTAAGTAAACCGTTCACTTCGGGTGAGTTGTCACAAATGCCACCCCAAAGTGCGTCATTAACGGCAAAGTGATACCAAAGCCACGCTTACAACGGCTATTTTAACGTAGGAAACTGATGTAGCTCCCAGACTTGGTTTCGTTCAGCAACAGAAACGCACGAAGGGCTTCTCGCAAATCATGCCATTTCTGTTCGCGGAGACACATGGTCCCGAACAAATTAACTTCCAAACATGAGATGTCTATAGAAAAAGATTCGACATCTTTATAAATTGACCGTATGAAAGAATTTATTCGTAAAACCAGTTTATTATGACTGGTATAATAATAATTAGATCATTACAAATACTACAATGGTCAATGAGAACTTTACAAAGCTGCGGGAAAAGTCGAAGAAAACTGATAATTTCAGGAGGTCATGAAGTGCAGAACTCGAACTAGAACATGACTACACTTTCAGGATGCCTAACGCATACATTATAGACTCTTATACACTCACCAAATACTTATACACAAATTTCAGTTCAAAATTTATTATTTATAACAAATGGCATGCATAAATACCTTCTAATAAATTAACAATCTATGTACAACGAATGGACATGTTGCGTTTGAACCGAAATAAAATTTGCAAAGCCTGCAATCAGTACGTACATTACCTGATAATTTAATTCATTAATTAAAATTTTCAAGAAGAATAAGTAAATTGGTTGAATTTTTTTAAGTTTAAGGTCATTTTAGCAGAGAAACAACAAAAATTTTCACCGATTTGCGAAACCTCGGCTCATTTTAATCCTCTATTATGCCACTATTATGCCACTAATAGATTAATCAGTCTGAAATATATGAATCAAAGATTACCTATCCTGCTACAGTGTTGGGAAGCTCGGAAATAACAAGTGTTGAGAAAGTTCAAAGTTAAATTCCATCAAGCAATATGTTTCAGCCCCGAATTTTCGGAACTATAAAAATCGCCCAGCGATTATGGCTAGAGCAACACTGACGGAAGACGCAATGACAGTGGATGAGCCGCTGTCCGGCTCCGCTTCTGGCTCGGGGCTGTCCTGAAGGCCTTCGCTCTCGCCTCTCGCGTGTACGGTCTCCCCGACTGGGGCGTCAAAGTCTTCTGGGACGGGAATGAAGCAAAAATAATCACAAGAACCGAAATAATATGAATCCGAGACAACACCTGAGTTATATTATTAAAGGCTAGTTTCATTTTAAGTGTCCCTGTTTATAAATTTTCCTTTATGAATTACTCCCTGTAGGCTAGTCATGTTCATCACAATAATCTTAATGATAGATTCCTGTTGGAATATTAATAGAAAATAGATGGAATCACTTGTGATACCCAATTTATATAGTTTTTCAGTATAGGAGAATGTAAGACGTGGTTGCAAACGTAGCTAAATAAATGTAAGAACCAACCTGTGCACTCCATGTCTTCGAACTCGTCCCAGGAGATGCCTCCTACAGGATCCCACTGCTGGCCTCCTACGCACTGCAGCTGCAGGGAAGACATGCCGCCGCCTCGCAGGGAGCTCTTGTGGCCGGGCTGACATGCGATGCTCGCCTGCACACAAACAACTATTGTAAGACACTAACTCAGCGACTTGAAATTTGTCAAAAAATTACACATATGTAAATGGGTAAGCTACTTGAAACTTTCCAACGCCAGATTTTTAAAATCAAGCACATTCTTTACATTTAGCTAACACGATGAAATGAAGATAGGAATGGTGAATGCAATACATGTCTAGAATTGTTCTTGCGATCGTAGGAAGCAAAAAAAAAAACATTACAATCAGATAGTGTGTTAATACAACACTAGTGACATAAAATTGGAAATAACAAAATTAAGCTGCCGTTTCAAGTTGCAATATTAGATTTCTTCATCGCAAGCAAGTTAATATCAGAATTTAGGATAAATATTAATTTACATTTGATTTCAATTCAAATGTCTACACTCATTCTTCAAAATTGCACTTTTACAATTGTAAGTAAAATTCTACCCTCAGCGTACTGCTGCACCTACATTGTCACAGCATTGTTCCATTGAAATGTTTTGCTCGGGTTAATTAAGATCACCAAGATTTGAGCAGCGAGTGCAGTGTTCGAGAACCGCAACTTGTTGAGAAAAATTACGTTGGAAATCGTTAAGGTATCTGGGTGGTTACGAATCAGCTACAGGCCTAGACGGCCTAATCAAAGCTGGCACCGCTCTATTGAGAAGTTGCGCTGCAAACATCGCTATGCTATGTTATGTAAACCAGAATAGCACAACAGATAGGTAGGTACTCACGATGAGTTGCATGGTGGAGTCTTGGGGAGCCAGTTCACCGCGGCAGGTTGTGCGATGGTTGTTGTAGTGCACAACCATACCGTCGCCCACCTCCAGAGGAGGGCAGCCACGCTCCGACACTACGCGTTTAATCGCCCGAATAAAGTCCATTTTACTAATCATGATCACGTTAATAATAAAATATTTATGTTATTGAAGTAAATTAGATGAAACTCCTTGCTCTAAAATACATAAGTCAACAATCACAGAAGGAAAAATCAGCATGTCAATTTGTGAAATGTATTTGACATGAAATTTAAATTTAACTCACTATAAGCAATGCAATTTAACTTTGGATCTGTTTCCACGGCATAGTTGATTAAGGCAGTTAAATATTATTTGAAAACTGAAGAGTAATAGGTTTTCTAAACGAATTTTATGATGATACTTAACTGTACCCCCTCAAGAAAAGTACGAAACAAATCATCATTCATCCTACGAATAATTAAGCAGTAGAATTTCCTTGACGCTGCGAGTAGTAAGCGGTTTTTTCATCCTTATAATCATAAGAAATGATATATCATAAACAATATTCGACAAGATATGATGATGAAGCAGGAGCGCCTCTGCAGACCTTGTGGATAGTAGGCGGTGTTGGTCCAGGCGACGATGCGGTCGTCGTCCGCGACGCCGGACGGCGGCACGAAGCTCATCTCGCAGCGCACGCCAGCCTGCAGCGGCATACCGCGCACCTACGACACATAAGAACAGTACAGTATGAATGTACATTAGAACAATACAGTATAACCACACACGAGAACTATACAATAGAAATACACATGAAAAGTATACAGTAGAAATATACATGAGAAGAAGACAGTAGAAATGTACATTAGAACAATATAGTATAAATACACATGAGGACTATACAGTAGAAATACACATGAGAACAATACAGTAGGAATACAAATGAAAACAATACAGTAGAAATTTACATGAGAACAATACAGTAGAAATAAACATGATAACTAAACAAAAAGAAAATCATTAAAATGATCCAATAGCACGCAGATGAAATAGATAAATGTGGAAAGGATTTTGTACTTGTAAGCAACTCAGAGTCAATCAAAATCGATCAAGGTACGAGAGAACGCAAGAAAACGGCCTTCACTTCTGAAAAATTCACTTTAAAAGGCCTCTGAAAAACGTAAAACGGCATACCTATCTAACAGGCTTGTCTATCAAGGTACAAATTTTCAATTGAGGATTTTAAAGCAGTTCTTAATAGAAAACAGTCTATCCTGATGCCTAGCGAAAGGATCGCGAGAAAGCAAACCTAAAAAAAATATAATTTATCGAAAGATGGCCTAATATCATTTCTCTCGCGCTTCCAGTAACCAAACTCACATCGAGTACTGTATGCACCCGAGGAGATTAAGGGATAATTTATAATTCTTACAAGATCAATTTTTCCACGAGGTCTAATATGTGAGCATATTGAAGGCGTTATGTAAAGTGGACTAGTGCGCACAAAAAAGTGAAGTGCGCACGAGAACAAATTATGCTCACTTGGAATGTAGTGTCGTGGATGGCGTATGCGACTGAGCCATTATGGTAGGGCACGGCTTGCCAGTCCGAGGCGGTGTTGGTGTAGCTCGTATCTGTGGACCAGACGCCACACAGAGGCGTGGGCTTCGGGTATATCGGGGGACCGCTGAACGAAAAATGCAACACGCAATCGGCCACGTTGCCTGTCATACTGAAGCCGAACTTCGGAACATCTGTTTAAGAAAATAAATTTCAGGAGCTCCATCACTGAAAATGGTTTACTAGCATCGACATTTTGAAACAGTCTACTATGAACCATCGAAATTGCATTAAATGATAATTAATTTGCATTAAACGATATTTACGAACCATCGAAATTGCATTAAACGATTCGCATCAGCCTCCGATAAACTAATTTTGAAGCCACAAATTGGAATAAGCTTCAGTAATTGAACAAACTTTGATGAACAACCGTGGTGGCAGGGTTCCGGTACCGTAATGCGAGAATTGAAGATTTTGAAGTAATACACAAGCTTCACTAAACGTTTCAAAATTGCAACGTACTGCAAGAACGATGTTAAGAAGTTGGCCACCATTTCATACCTGCGACGACGAGATGGTAGGGCTGATCGCTTGAGTCCTGCTTGGCGTCCGTGGCGCGCACCGTGCAGGTGTACGGACCAGCGTCCTCGGCGGCCGTCTTGCCCAGCACCAGCGACCCGTTGGCAGACGCGTCCACGTCCACGCGATCGCGGAACTCCGCGCTCGCTGATGATGATGGCATCAAAGGAGAATGATGCAATTGAAACTTTCGAAATTGTATGCGAGAAAACAATTTTCACTGATAAAGAAAATCAATTGGTTAAAATAAATAAATGCGAATGTTAGTTGTCGTTTTAGAGAAGTGAAAACAAAGCTAACGCTTTTATTTGGATTCGAAAGAAAAACCACTCCGAGTGTACTCAACACGAACGATATATTAAAAGTGTTAGTAGAGCATAACACCGTTTAATAAGTAGTAGCACGTCAAAAATACATTATAAAAACCTGAATTTCGATTGAAATACAAAACGAAAGTCAATTAAATAGGTATAAGCAGGTACTGACGCAGCGGTGGCTCCGGCGGCGTCCATGTGAGCACAGGCACAGCGTCTCTGAACCAGCCGAGCTTCTCGAGCTGCTGGCCCTCGTCCAGCGAGTAGCGGCAGTGCAGCGCAGCGCGCGCCTGCAGTTGTGCATACGTGCCTCCGCCCTCCAGTTCTATGCCCTCAACCTTCACCGCCGCCGCCCGTGAACCTGCGGCAGATCAGCACATTTTATGCACAGTAGTCAATAAGAAGTAACTTATATAACAAAAAATAATAGGAGATGTTCTTGAACATAAAATGAGTCAATATCAATAAATGAAGTTACAAAAACTAATATCGTGCGGATCTGAATATTTTAAAGCTTTCATGTAGCGGGGAATAGTGAAGAAGTAAGATGAAAGGTGCAAATAGCCTTTTAAATTATGATTAAACAAACTGAATATGTTCTCGAGTGCAAAGAGAGCACGAGCAAAAAAGTAATCCATCTTGCCAGTTCGGAAATGTCTCTTGTGAGCCAGCTGATATAACACATGCTAAAGGCTATGACTACCTCTCTTTTTCATCAATATAGAAAGCAGGTGTCATAAACTAAAATTCGGAGACATCCAGTTGAAAAACAAGTTTTTGCAGCGAAAGTCCAAATGATCATAATATCTATTGGTGTGATAAATAAATATTAGACGAAGCCTAATCAAATATTTGCGTTTGATGGTTTCGAAGATCGGTCCAGGACCGTGCACCGCCTGTCGCCGACCACAGATCTGAAGAACCCATCATTAAGACATACTAAACTTTCATGATATAGATTATAGACGGCTTGTCAATAAATTTAATAAATAAAATAAATCACAAAACTTGTGCATCCATCTACATTCTACATAGAGCAAATGACAGGTTGGCTTGGTATTGGTGATCATGATTTGACTTAGATCAGAACTGCATTAGCATTACAGGGGAAAAATATACCAGGAATTCTGTCATTCTGAGTTTTGATGTAATTAATTGACTCGTAATTAATTTGTCGCTATGTGATTTCCTAGTTAAGTTTGAGAAAGCACAATTATTGGCAACAATTCATCTTCGTTTAGGAGTTTTATCATTATCTTTGCGATTACTGGATTACTTGCGAGGTGCATTAATAAAACGAGTTTAACAATTTCCAATGATAACTCCACTTTGTGAAAATATATCTGCGTCTATTTATATATATATATAATATAAAGAATATTAATATGTATAAAGTTGAATATTAATGGTAAGAATTATGAGATTCTCCGAATTAACGAACTGACATGTATTAACAAAAGAGGCTTCCACCCATTGAGTGAGATACAGACCGACGAATTCAGCTCTTTCGATTGACTGTACCAGCTACACCGGATTTCATGAAATGAAACAAAAGATTGAAGACTCGTATATTTCAAGAAAATATCATCAGCTTATAAAGGAACGAAGGAAAAATTGAGAAAAAACTATAAAAATGATGAGAGTGTTGAGGGGAAAATGCATGTAAAGCAAGAGCCGATAAAGCTAGCTCTGTTATTAGCCGTCGTTGTTCCCTGTATCAAGTGAAATGGATTTCATCAATAGCAAAATTTGCAACGAGCTAACTTTCTACACATTAAAACAGGAATTTCTATCGTATTCAAGCAATTAACAAAGAACAATAGATTCGCGGTGTATTGCGATAAATGCACAGAACTTTATATCTGATAACGCTTAGGAAGACCTTCAATAAGTACATGTTCTCGTAGCAATTAATGTAGAAGGACGTGTATAGCGATATACCGTACAACATATACCTACATCCTCGTATGAGCGGAGTAACGAATGCCTTCAAAATGGCTCTCAACAATCGCGATACAGCCTCTTGATTGACCGTAGCATGCATGTTGGATTTAAAGAAACAAAACAAACGATATGAGACTTAAGACGGAGATGTATAAACAGTCTATATAGCTTGCGTTCTGGGAGAATTTCTTATTTATCTGTAAGACTGTATGTTTTGATCTCTTTCTTTGCGTTCTAACTCGTCAGTAGAGACATGATACACCAACATATTTATTTAAATTAAAATAGAATCTATTGCAGGAGTAAGATAAAACTAGTATCTGTTAGTGCTGATTTAATTATCATGTTTATAGAAGATTTGCGACAGTAATTTGTTTGAGAGGACAACTATCACTGAATTAGTCCTCAGACTTCAGAGGCACCAGCAAACCATTGCGTCACATCTTTCCAAACGCAGAAAAATTTCCAAAAATACACAAATAAATATTTTGATATCGCAATACGTCAAGCTTGGCAGCACACATGGAGCGAGAATAATGATCAGAGTCTATTGCGGTTTCAAGCTCGTGTGTTGCGCGAGGCCGAATGTGTGCAGGAAGTGGTGAGTTACTTTCGTTCAACAGCTGCAACTTGCAAACCCCCGTGTTGGCTTTAAAACGCAGGAAGCTCCGTACTTGAAAGATATTAAAAGAAGGCGTCGAGTATGGAAATCGAGTTTCCGGAAGGTGAAATGTGAAAAAACAAAATTAAAATTGGTTTAAAATTTATGCTAACCATACTATATTTTGCATTATTAACTATTGTTATAAACAAATCAATTAAAAACCATGGGTATGGTTTTAAAACCATGAAAAGCCCTTATTCTAAGGAAGTCGTTCTGATATCTAGAAAATAATACGGGAAGGACACTTCTGAGCCGTGTTGTAGTAATTAAAACAATTAATTTGGCGAAGTCATTGAGAGAAATTATAATATAAAGAGAGGCCAGTTTGATGGAAGCAAAGTAAGTTTGATGGAAGCAAAGTAAGTTTGCTGAACCAGGCAGTTAAATAGCGAAGTCTTTACTACAAGATATGATTTAACTATCAGGAATGAGCTCATACAAGAAATAATAAAATATAAGAAAATTTAATCAAAGCGTCTAAACACGTACATATGTTTCCTGATGTGTACTGTTTTTTTAAGACACAAGAAAAGATCTCCCTATAGTTGATGGTGTATATGGTATTAAATAAAAATCAATGTTCACTACGCATTTCGAATGATCACCAAATTGAATGTTGGCAGGTTATATCCGAATGGCGGCAAATTGCTCAGCGATTTGGCCCATCTCTCTCCTAACTCTAAGAAACCAAAAACTATGAACAAAAGCTGAACGTTGGTACATAATTTCTTTCTTAAAGGTGGTTCTCAAACTGTGATATACGTATCCCAATTGATACCGTAACATTTTCGGGGTTATGAAGATTTCGATTCAATTTTTTCTACTTAAACAGAACCTTTACCTACACAGAACACCAACTTGATTGGTAACCTGGGAAAGAAAAAACGGCTAATGCTAACGAATGTTTATTAAAAATGCGGTGAAGTATATCTTAGCTCTCTATATGTATTATTAGACCATAAAAAAAGTAAAACAAGAGGTAAATGTCTCACTTTTACGCCAGAGAAAAAGTGTGAGCGGTCATGTAAAATAATAATTAAAATCATCCCTTTACATCCGATGCGCATAAATTTTCTCAATCATAATAAAAGCGAACTTCAAACAATAATATTATAGAAAAACAATTGACGCTAAAAATCTGAGAATACTGTCAGGTAGAAAGCCTATAGGCTCTTCGAGTTGAGTAGTTGTTGGGTAAGCATGCTGGCAGGCAGAGCTGAGAGGGAGAGTGAACCAAGAATTCCAACTGACAAACAGTGCATGCCAGGCACAGGATAGGTTTGGTGCGACTCCACAAGTGACCGGTCGGGCTTTCTCTAGCACAAACATTTCAGGAGAGAAGAGAAGAGTTGCTTGTACATTGGTGCTATAAGTTATATACGTGAAAAGTAACTTATATATAAAAACGTGAAAAATATCTGTGAAAATATTTTTCGTTAATATGTTGGCTAATACATGAACCTGCTACCTAGTAACTTCTCACTGAGGGAGTTAAGCAAAATAAAATTTCACTCTTTAGTCATGAAGAAGTAAAAATTTTAATCCAATTTTATTCACACTATACAGAATGAGAATAATATCCAACGATCTGACAAGACACACGCGATCTTCTAAATGGCATCCAAAAATTTTATATAATTAAGACCTCGCCGTAGGTATTATTACATGAAGCAGCATAGACAAACGTTAAAATTATAAATTAAACATACAAATTTATATAATTTTGAGATATTTCTCCAAAGTTCAGCGCACATTATAGGCTCACAAGTTAGAGGAGGCGAAAGTTAAGAATTAGACCTTCACTGATCACTCGTTCCTCCACTTCACGCTGACCCTCGACCCACTCGACCCACAAAATGCAAGCTGACCAGTCCAAAACTCCTAGAACGAGCCAGCATGAAAGACCAAAGCCGTTCATTCAATGAATTTATATCAACTGGTTCCTTTAGTGCGGCTTGACTATGGCAAGTGCATGGTGACTAGTATCTTATATAGTATGAATATAGGCAATGTCAGATGACCCGCACGAACTCAGATGACCCGAATAGCTTTGTTCCAACACTAGATGATGATATATTTGTTCCAAAACTAGATGATGATGAAGAAAATGGGTAGATGATATATTATTGTTCATATACAAACATTTCATGATGTAGCATCTCAAAAATTACCACAAAGGTCACAATTTCGGATTGCAATACAGATTTTTTTGGCATTATCGTTAGTATGCAAGTTTGATCGACTTATTGCAATCACGTATCTGCGTTCTGAAGTGAAAGATTGGGGGAAATTATTTAAAAATCTCCAAAACTCTTGCCTTACGTAACATAAACGGTTAGTTAAAGTACAGCTGTTTGGTTAAAAAAACAATCCCATATAATATCAAATGATTGAAGCGTTTTAAGGAATTGAATACATTTTTTTCAATTCGCACATGCCTTTTTGGATAGGTTCCTCTAAAAATTAAAGCATAAAGATGGGTAATAGTCTATGAAAACCATATTAGGTGAAAAATGATCAGAATTCAATCATTCGGCACAAAAAGCTGAGCCCAAGATCAATGACAGAACGGCCATGACTGCTTCCTCTTGTGTACCGCACCCGCTGGCAAAAAATGCATTGGGTCAACGTTCTAAAACACATTTTATCCACGCAGCTCGATCACCGAGCGGCGGATTCAAGAGCAAATTAAGTTATCACACAGATTATTTTCTGGTTTTGTTTTAATTGAGAGCATGTCATGAGTTCTCATA